TCTTCAGACCAGCGAACACTGTATCACGTGTGTCTACAGGTCAGGCTATCAATACACTCGTTCTATGATCGCTAATTCTATTCTGAATTTACTACTGCTGCTGTGATATCCACCATCTGATGTACCGCCTACAACCCCGTGTCAATCGTGCGAGGAGGCTTCTATCTTAAGCTTCCTGTCTATACTAGCAGATACGTAAAGCGGCACCGACAAGCTGTCCTATGAAGAGGTGTGAGGTGTGTCTGCTTTTTGTACTATATGGTACTTACAATATACAACAATCTACACGTTAGGCATACGACCGGCGGCGGCTAGGCGCAGTAATGCACACGATGGACTATATTCCGACGGTATCAAACTTCACAAACTGTTATGATCTCGACATCGTAGATGGTGCGATATTGGAGGGATGATCCCTGGTATCTCCACAATCACAGCTGTGACGAAATCCCACCTTTTATAGATTTCCTTCGGTCTATCGTAAAGGTCAAAAGAAACAGCTTGCACTCGTGAGTTTCAGTACACCCCTGCATCTCATTTGTTGTCCTCCAGCGGTTCTAATGTCCTCCCTCGCGCAAGAACTAGGCCTCTCCGAGAGCGAGGCGCGTCAAGCCATAGGAGATTATCTTAACTATCACGTTATCGTAATCTTCACATATGGCCTCTACACTATGCTTTTCGCGGCGACTCTGAAGCGGATAGGTACGTCCAACTCCTCAGACCTTGCCCCTCTCGTATCTTTATGGCTTTCTTCTAGCTTCGCGCCGCGAATGGCCTCGTCAGCGCATTATCCTGGTCATCCTCGTCAGTCTGATCTGGTCGGTAGCGACGGTGTACACAGGACTGTACTGGCAAGGGCTATACACCACGTACGTTACCCATGGTCAATCGGAGGACTCCGTTCTGGGATACTTGTTTGAGGTCGGCAGCGAGAACTTCTCAAGGTAACGGCTTGCGATCAACGTTACCGCATATACAGCGGTGAATGCCATGATTGCTGAGGTTATAAATGTGTGCATTTTGTCATCGACATCTCCCTTTCTTGCTGATTGGACAATAGATTTGGCGTTGTTGGGAGCTTTACAATCGCAATTGGTTTGTCGGCATTGTCCCGCTGCTTGGCGTCATCTGTGGACTTAGTGAGTCGACGTCGTGAGCGCTTTCGTCATTTCCCGCTGATGTCTTGATTCGTACCAGTTGCCCATGCTCTTATGATGGCGGAGACGTTCCCCTCCGGCGAGATAACGGCCCAGTGGTTCGCGATAAACTGGACCATCGTTTATTACTCCGTGACCGCCGCGCTCAACGTTCTCACCACGTCTCTCATCCTCATCCGTATCCTTTCCATCGGCGGAATCAAAAGTGCCCGAACGTACCGCGGCCTCATTGAAATCCTGATCGAGTCTGCACTCTTATATTCCGTTGTCTACATCGTCTATCTCGCCTTGTACGTGCGAGACTTTTATAACCCTCATCTCAGCACTGCCAACTGGTATGCCGGCTCTTTCTTGAATACAGTCACGGTAAGGGTTTGATTCTGTCAGTAAAATTTGGAGTGCACTCAAACAACAACAGGCAGCTGCACCGACAATGATCATCGGCCGCGTCATGGCAGGAGAGGCGCGTCCCAACGATTCGTGGACGCGTTCATCTCTCCCTCAGATGCGGACGGGCATGCGAAGTTTTGCCGAGAGCCTTCGTTTCACCAGTTTTCGTGCTGCACGTACCCAAAACACCACGACGACTGCTGACTTGCCGAGCCACGCAACGGCCAGCGAGTTTAAGGAAGCTGTGTCGACTCTGAATACAGGCCAGAGTCACGGGTCTACGCATATGAGCGAAGTCTGGGAAGATGCTCGTGGCGTTGAGAACTACGAGGTAATCGGGCTAGGAATTGATGTCGACGTGGAGAAAGCTGGACTCAGAATGAGCTCATGAGCAATTTTGGAAGATTGTCCTAACGCTATAGTAAGTATATATATTTACTGATTTACGTAGAAGATTTCGCTGCTGTGTACACACAATTAGATGTGCATTGCAGCGCACGAGGCATCGAAATACAAACTATACAATCGCACGTCGCCAGGGTGACTTGTGTGTGCCCACGAATTGTCATCGACATTCAAGTTCCGGAGCCAGACGAAACAGCTTTTCATCCTCATCCAGACAAGATACACGATGCGAGGTAGATGACGCCAGCCGTCTTATAAAAGCGAACCATCAGGTGACCGCACTGTCGATCATGCCCAGCCTTTGTTGAAATTCTTTCTTGTTCATCACCTTCATCACCTCTCAAAAATCGCTTGAATATGTCGCCAGAACACAAGCATCCAGACACAGGCACACATGTACCAAAAGCAAAAGTCGAGATGCACGCTCAAACCACGAAAGCTACATTCGAGGTGGGCGACAACGTAGAAGACAACATGGAACAAATGGCCGCTGTTGAAAAGGACGCTCTAGATTTCGACGTTGATCTAGTCCTTGAAGAATATCAATGGGATACAGCTTGGTTAGCTGTGGATGACCACGAACGAGGGACCAAAGCTTTCGAGAACATGCGCCTCTGGGTGGACGAAGAATCGTCTCAGAGGTACCGAGATTTTGCCGGTAGAGGGAGGGTATATCGAGTTCGCGATGACCAGGACGTGCAGAATGACGAAGAGGCAGCTAAAGAAATGGAGATCGACGAAGAAGAAGCGTACCACCGTCAATATTATTCGCCGTTTTTTGGTTATGATGAAGAACCTGATGACTTCGCTCCTGTTAAGGGAGAGGAGCCATGGACAAGGGGAGTGTGCGCTTGAAGATTTCACTCGTACTAAGGTAGAGAGATTGTTTAGTCAATGGTACTTGTGTATACACCAGGGTCCTCTTTTTTCCAAAGTACCATCACTCGTACAACTCGCCGACATCTAAGCCAGAATCCGACTACGAGACTGCGGAAACTACGCGAAATTGCGTGTCTCAAACGAGCACCTGGAAGATGTCAAGAGATGCTCGTACTTAGATTAAGATAGGGAATCCTGAGCCTGAAAAGGCGCCACTGTGGCACACATAGTCTTGCATTTTCGTTTCTGAGTGTCATACGAAAGAAAGTACTGTACAATAATGTTATGAGCCCCCTTCTTAGGGACTGTCGCGACCGGTGGGGGTGTACGGGTACGAGCTTTTGGTGGCAGGACTGCGTAACGCATAGGATTCGTGGCCGTCACTGCGCTCAACAGTCGCTGCGTGAAAGTCGTCAGCCGCAAACGTTTGACTCGTCCATTCATCGTTTGATCGCGAGTTGCCAGAAGCGACTCTTGCAAGAATGAGCGTAGGCGCAATACCCTATATGATACTCAACGAAATGCCTTGAAGAGACGAATAAGCAGATACTCACAGTAACACTCGTCAATATGGCACTTGAATAATACGCGCCCCACCTGGCACTGATGAAGTACAATATGACATGTATCACCAGCACCACGGCGTAAATCAGCGCGCTTTCTACCACAATTTCGAGCACGCCGCGGTATGACGTGAGGGATATGTTGTTGGCACGGCTCATGCTGACAATGCGGGCGATAATCCCAATCGTGCAGTACAAAGTCGTGAACAACGACAAGCAGAAATAAACCAAACTGAAGATGCTTTCTGTACCAACGACAGTGTCGTACGCCGTGACGACTGCCCCCAAAGAGTCGTAGGCCCCAATTGTAGTCAATAAGAGTGCTATCAGAAGTGTAAAACGCGGCAAAACTAGGGACGAGTCCATTTGAAACTAACCAAATTCAGCCACTGTAAGGAATGCTGGGACAGCCGCTATTTTCCAGCTCCTCCCACAAACAATCCAACACCTCCAGATCTATCCAATTAGATAGTGATTGGGTCAACCATTAGCAAACTCACCATGATAACATCCGCGATAACTACGTTGAAGCCAAGCATCGCTTCAGAGAAAAGCATACGCCACGATGACACCCCTGGAGGGGATGTGCAGAGGTATTCTGGGTCACTACCGTGCGGTCCATACGCGTCCAAGATGCCGTACCACCGCACGACGAAAGCCGCTGTTGCCAGAGTGTACATGAGTGTTGCTGCAAGCGCCATGGCATGTCTTGAACTGGAGTGCTGTATGGCGCGTCGGTGCGCGGAGAAGACGTTGGCGTCTGCATCGGTTGCCAGTGATTAGAGGATTTCGTGATGAAGGAAATGCACGTACGCTTTACGCGGACAAGGTTCTGCACGATAGCACGAATGAAGATAACGGTGTAGATACCTTTGCAAATTCATTCAGCAAGTTACTAAAAGGAAACTGCCAAATATACGCACCTTGCATGAGCACCATGAATAACGCGCTGTTCAAATACGTGTAGCGTTCACGCGAGCAGTCGCTCAGAGAGTTTGTCGACGACATGATGGGAGGAGACAGGATGAAGGTGCTGTAGTCCGGGGAGCACGCTGAAAGTCAAGCTGTCAACAACTTAGTTTCCGAGTCCGATGGGAGCTGGAGGTGATTGATTTGTAGAAACAAGACCGCTCGTATACTTATAATCAGGATTTAGGCTAGAAGTTGAACACGAGAGTGGAGTAAGGGAGGCAGAACAGCCCCACGGATCCTGCGCAGTTAAAACTGGCTCGTGTTGCATCAACAAATTTTGATCTCGCTTCTCCTTTAGGAATGCTATCCGAAACTTCCAATTAGACACGATACACTGCATGTGTGGCGGCTTACAATCTTACATATAAATGTTGCAGAGCATAGACGGGATACTGTTAATTGGCGGATTGCAATTGTTTCCGTGTCGGAAGTTTGATGTAGAGCGTCCAGGCTATTGAGCCAGTGCATATGCAGAGACAGCTTGCCCGTAAGTCTGTGTTTTATCGTTCATGCAATGGATTCTTCACGGAAAGCGAGAGAACCAGAATGCAGTAGAGTCTATGATGGGCGAACAAAGCAAACGCCTGTTGAACAGGTTTACAGACATGGTGCCCAGGGGCGATTGCGATGTCATGGCCTGATGGTCTAGTAGTATGATTCCTTGTTAGGGTTCTATCATCTCGAGGAGGTCCCGGGTTCAATTCCCGGTCAGGCCCGTACTTTTTTGGTGGGATGGTTTAGTATCACGTGATGCAGCTGTGTGGCGTACATATTATTAACGTATTTTTTATTCTAAATTCTTGTAGATAAGCAGTGTGCATATTTGTTACTTCTCGAGTCTCTTTGCAGCTTTTAGGACAAACAAGCTTGTTTGGGCCAGACATGACAAAGTCCTAGTGAGGAAATCCTCGGAATCGATTTCAGAACCAATGTTCAGGCTCCAAAATTTGAGATTTGAGCCATGCTACACATCAAAGCTGGTACGAGGGACTAATGAGTGGTTTCCGACAGACGTTGAATATTTGGACATGAACGTCAAGTAAACCACTGCTTAGCATCGGGAGTTTGTCCTGCGTACGAAGTCAAGTAAGAAACTTTGACAACAGATATAAGCCAGTGAGTGGGGTCCATATATAGCGCTTCTGTGGAACCTAAACCTATAGTACAACAGGGAATAACAAAACGACAAGATATAGTAAAATATACAGCACATCATATTGCGCCTCCACATCTCGGGCAAGTATACGCCTCTCCTGCGTCAACGACCGCTCTCTCCCAGTCAAACGACGATGGTTCACTCTTCTTCTTTTTGACAGGTGCCATCCTGCTCTTATTTGACCTGCCACTCTTCGCTTCGTCATCATTAGGATCTTCCAAAAAGGCAGTACCCTCTAACGCATGCAACACCCTCGACCGAGCTTCGGCAACTGCTCGCACATTCCCAGCGACACCAAAACGACCACCACGAACCATAGGCTGACTCGCCGCTGTGATCACGTCCTGCTCGAGACCGTGCAGTAAAGACGGATCCAAAGCGCCAGTCTTAAGATGAGAGGACGATGTTATGATGCGCTGAATCGCTAGGGCGTCTAGTACTGGCCCGCTCTTGCGCTTACCACGCGTGCGATGAGGAAGGGGCGGCGTAGTCGACGGAGACGGAGATGGAGAAAGACAGCGTGCGTGCCACCAGCGCATACAACCGGGATTGGGACACAAATGCATAACCTCCTTCGGCTGATAAGCTCCGCATCTACGTTCGTCTTTCCTCTTCCGTTTGCCAAGCCTGGTTTCACCGTCTGTACATTGGAATGGTAGGGGCCTGGGTAAGATACACCGCGTCCCGCGCTCGTAGTCGTATCTAGTCCAGAAAGTATCTGGTTCGATGTAGGGTGGGGAAAGGCTAAGTTCCTCGTAGCGCGGGACGGCAACAACGCCGTCGATGGTAGCGTGGTGGACAAAGTCAAAGTGGTCCGAGAATATACGTTCGTAGGGGCAGTAAGTTGAGGGTGGTGGGGGAAGGGAGTCGGCGTATGTCTTGACCATAGGTGCCAGATCAGCTGGCGAGTAGAACCATTGAACTTTGACCCAGACGTTGTGGGTATCGCTAGATGGAGAGCGAATAGCACGGACTCGGCCAATCCAGAACTCAGCGTCATCTTCTGGTGGGTCTGGAGGTAGAACAAGGACACTAAATAAAAGTACGATTAGATTGGGAAAGAGCAAAACAAGGCTGCCATGTCATACCTATCTCCTTTCTTCACCTCCTGGCTCTTGTCATCTTGGTCGGTGACAACAAAGCGTCCATATTCGTCCCAAGACGCGAACTCTTCCTCCGTTGGTGTCCCATCTGCCATCAATTCCTGGAATTCCTTCCCTCTCGATACATTATGCGATTTAGGTTTGGCTGTTAGTCTGACCCGTTTACGAGGAGACATGGTGAGGGCAGATTTTGATTTAATATGAGAGGAGAGGATCCAGTCCGAGTTAACACATAGAGGGTGTCGGTGTCCAAGTCGTAAACAACATCGTCGGGGGAAGAGCGGCGATGAGTGGTTCGGTTCAGGCTTATCGATCACACACGATTTAACATCGTATACTCAAACTTCTAAGCTAGTATACATTCCATTTTGTACATTTATTTTTCCACTCTACCAACTATCAGCACGATTACTGCGCAACATGCATTAGACACTGAAAAAAGAAAAAAGGAAAGCAACTTGCCGTGATAACGGTAGGCTTCTCCCGTCCAAGAAAGTCCTTCAGCTTGCTGAGCTGAAGCGCAACTTCAATCAAACCCTTGAGACCGTCCGCAGCATCCTTCTTCAGCGCCTCTTTGCCCGCTTCTGGTGCAAGGTAGCGCTCAACGTACATCCTCACTGTCGCACCCTGACTGCCAGTACCACTCAACCTGAAGACCACCCTTGAACCATCGGAGAACGTGATAACCTGTCCTTGGTTCTTGGACACGCTCTTGTCGATCGGGTCCGTGTACTCAAAGTTGTACATACCCGACACGGTGTACTTTTCACCCGTCGACGCGGAGGAGTGAGTGGTGTCAGTCAACGATCCCGAGTCGAGCGCCTTGTTGATGTGCACCACCATCTCCGATGCGCCCTCGGACGGAACCTCCTCGTAGTCGTATCGGCTAAAGAACGAACGACCGTAGATACCGTAGAACTCTTCGAGAAGATCGTTGATACCAATAAGCTTGTTTGGCGAATCACGATTCGCCGCAGCAATGATGTTCAACCACGCTGTGTATGATGTTCATTATCGACCAATCTCGGAGATCATCATACACTTACCAACGACAGCCCAGAGACCATCTTTTTCACGAATGTGGTCTGAACCAGTACCAAAGGATTCTTCACCACAGATGGACAATCGTCCAGCATCCATCAAGTTTCCAAAGAACTTCCAGCCTGCAGCTTGTTAGCGTGTATAACCGCAATTAGTAGGAATGTCACAAACCAGTTGGAACCTCAAAGTACTCTAGACCCTTCTTTTGAGCGACAAGGTCAATAGCCTTGCTAGTTGGCATACTCCTAGCCAGTCCCTTGACACCTCCCTTCTTGAAGTACGGAATGACATCGGCCCAGTGCGCGATGATAGCAACGGAATCTGACGGAGTGACGAACGCGCCTTTGCCGTAGATCATGTTCCTGTCACCGTCGCCATCACTAGCAGCACCAAACTCGATACCATTCTTCTCAACGGCGTCGACGAGTGTATGCGCATAGGTCAAGTTGGGGTCAGGATGGCCTCCACCAAAATCTGGCAGGGGAACACAGTTTTGGACTGAGGATGGAGGAAGGCCGAGAGCATCGATGAAGATTCTCGACGCGTAAGGCCCGGTGACACCGTGCAAGCCGTCGAACAAGACGCGATAGTCGTTGGAGTGAGACGATAGGAAACTCTTGATGAGAGGGAAGTCGAAAATCTCCTCGAGGAGAACGAGATAGTCGACAACAGAGTCGATGATAGACACGTCTGAAGGGCCATACTTGAAGTCGCCAATCATGGAAAGATCCAACTGATTTCACGATCATGAGTGAGATACGCGCATACATTCCAAAGAAACACTTACAGGTTTGTCTTCAATAATTTTATACTTGCTGATGGTCTTCGTGATAGCAAAGATCTTATCGGTAACGCCCTCAGGAGCAGGTCCGCCATTGGAGACATTGTACTTGATACCAAAATCGTTGTTCGGACCGCCCGGGTTGTGGCTGGCAGTCAGGAGAATACCGCCGTACGCCTTATACTTCCTGATAACATTGGAAGCGGCGGGAGTCGATAGGATACCATCTTTGCCGATGATGAACTTGGCGACGCCGTTCGCAGACCCGATCTTGAGGATCACCTGCACGCATTCAGGCGAAAAGTATCGCCCATCGCCACCGATGACGAGCGTCTGGTCCTTGGCGTCGATGGAGTCGAAGATGGACTGGACAAAGTTCTCGGTGTAGTGCTGAAGGCAGGGCGATGTGAGCAGAGCGCATTGCTACGCGCTTTTCAGGAGCGTACCTCCTGCTGGAAAACCTTGACCCTGCCAACGCCGTCAGTCAGTGATGGCGAGTAGAGTAGTGGCCAACCTTTTCCTAAGGCCAGATGTGCCTGGCTTTTGGCCCTCGAAGGGCTTTGTCGCGATTTCTTTGACTGGGAAAGACATGGAAGGAGATCAAATCAGATTTGGCGACGGAGTTACGGTATATATGATGAAATGGCCACGTGCCGCGACTGGCTCTGAACTACCATGGCGGCTTCTCTCGACTTGACGCACGTTCTATGTAGGATCTTGGTACTCTTCGGTTACCCGTATTGAGGCCAATTCTAGATGATGATTCGTCTCTGTTTTCGCTATTCCTGGCTTTGATGACATTGAGTCCTATCCTGCTCATGGTAGTCGCGCTTGCTACGGCAATATACTCCTGCTAACTAACCCAGGCCGCGTACGCCGCTTTGGCAGTTTACACTCGTGAATTCATCATTATCGTCATGTGGGTAGGCCAATTTGCCTGTGAAGGTCTTAATTGGGTCATAAAACGACTCGTCAAACAAGACCGACCTATCGGTGTGTTTTGAATATGCACGGTCGTGTCAACGCTTACTTCAGCGTGCAGATTATATAGGCAACGGTTATGGCTTTCCTTCTTCGCACAGTCAATATATGGGCTACTTTGCTTCATTTCTGATCTGCCACTTGTTCTTTCGACATGAGTTTGGCTCGACTGGGTATTGGCTACTGGATTTTGCTTGGCGAGCAGCAGTGTACAGTGCCGTCTCAGCGTGGGCCGGACTAGTCGCCTATTCAAGGTAGACCACGTCCTTTCCATGGATCTTGTTGGAACTTACCTATCCTGCGAAGATACAACCTTGGATATCACAACTCTTATCAGATATTCTGGGGTTTTGGCATCGGTGTGGCCTTGGGTGTCTCGCTCTATGTTGTATGCGAATACTTGCCGCGATGTCGACCACGGTCTATATTCGGAAAGACCAAGGTTTTGCTCTTGGATAATCCCATCTCTACTTGGCTCCAAATCAGGGATGGATGGGATGTTTGGACAGATGGTGGGCGGGGCGAGGAATGGGTGAGGTGGAGAGCAGAATGGGACAGGCGACAGGTAACAGCGAGGAAAACGAATTGAACCTCGATTTTGCTGCGTCTATCCATGCTTTCCCTATCATGATCGACTCTAGTTCCTGTCAACTC